AGTTATTGCCTACTCCTTTCTACTTTGAGAATTCTAATTATATGAACATAAGTTTCTTGGTTTTGACACAGTGAACTATTATGACTGATCTGTAAATTCTTTCTTCATTTTTATTTTGGACAGTTTTTATTGTTATATTCAGTTATGTTTGTAAATAATTCATTTTCAATTTGCAATCTATTAAAAAATTTTAAAAAATAAAAAATAAAAGCTGTTAAAGTGCAATGTGTCATAACTAAATCTTAGCAACAACCCAAATGCCCATCAACTGAAAAATGGGTAAGAAAGATATATTTCTATACAATGGAGTACTACTCAACTATAAAGAATAAACTTGAGACATTTATAGGAAAATGGATGCAACTTGAGGCCATTCTCATAAGTGAGCTAAACCAGACTTGCATGTGTAAACATTGCATTGTTCTCTAGTGTAAGAAACTGAAACAGGAGAACCGCAGCGAGGTGCTGAGGAGCCAGCGCCCCGCGCCGGGCTTCTGTAGTACCCAGCGGGCGGACCCGGCGCGGCCTTCCAAGACGGCGAGAACACCGGAGCGAAGCCACCTGGCTTTCGAAAACATCAGGGCCTGTTGGAGAAAAAGGATTACAAAGTGCGTGCAGATTTTTGTTTTGTTTGCTGGCTCAGGACGCATTAAGGGCAAGTCTGGTAAGGAATGAGGACCTGGGGATCGACCTTGAGGATCTGGGGATCGACCTTGAGGATATGGGGTTCGACCAGGTATCCTGAGGCTGACTGCCTTTGCCTAAGCAGGCACTTAAACAACTGAGCTAGTGGGCAGGCCCCCCTCAAAGCTCTTCGAAAGAAGCCTCTTGAAAAAAATCCAGATGAATTCTACTATAAAATAACTCCCATTAAGCTCCAGGATGGAGTTCATGTTGTTAAGGACAATAAGGAAGGAGGAGCTCCAGAACTCGGGAGGTCAGATAGAAATGAAAAGGGTTGCAGAACCTAAGAAAACTGAAAGCCTAAAATCAGAGCTCCATCTGCTGGATTTCCAGGGAAAGCGACAGGATAAATATGGGGTTTTTTTGACACCAAAAAAGAAGTTGAAAGTCTGATATTGCCACTCATTTGCAGACAGCGCCAGCATCGGTGGGCAGTCTTCGCAGGCCCAAGCTGGAGACCTCGCAGAAGGAAAGAGTGAAAGGAGTGACCCATCAGACTCGCCTTCAGCAGATAGCTCAACGAAGACAGAAGCAGTATAGCTGCCTAGCACAGCAGACTGAACGAGAGGAGAAGTGATTCATTAGTGAACAGAAAATTCAAACACTCAAGGATCTAATGGATAAAACTCGGAAAGTGAAGGTGAAGAAAGAAACAGTGAGTGGCCAGGCATTTGCAACTTTCAGAGTCC